CAAAATCCCCATCATAAATAAATGTTCTCCCCACAGCACTCTGGCTTCAGTATAACTAGAATGGAGAGATAATAGAGATCAATATAATTAAATGGCATAAAAATGTAATTGACAATGTTGACCATTTTAAGCATACCAGCCCAATATTACTAGGTAATTGGGAGTTTTAACTTCTACATTTTTTAGTTCGATTCCTGCCATCCTTATGTCCTAAAGTGCTGCATGATACTGACTTTTTTTTAATTAAGGCGATTGATTTTGTAAAGATAGCCATTGAGATACTTAGGCATACCCCAGGCTGTTACAAGGCCCAGTTTTTAGGGAAATCAGTGTGATATGTTGTTGGCTCAAAGATAATTTCTTTAGGAGTATACAATACTGTGTTTCACCTATTACAAGGAGAGTGCTTCCCAGATCCACGAGGATCCTTTCAATCATTTGTCTTTATTATGAACTCCAAGTTGTGAATAATAACAACTCTTACACTATATTTATTAAATAATAGCTTATTTCTCAGACTTTGTTAAGCAAACAGTATGTAACCTCTACTTAGAGCTTTTGATCAGTGAGCTATGCAATGTAATCAAAAGTTGGTATCATTCTGGCTAAAAAGAAATGTACATGATATTTTAATTAGCTCCACCTTAGGTAAATGTAAAATTTCTGTTAGGAATTTGGAAATCAAACATCTTGGAATCTCCCAAATGCTTAAAAGGGATGTCTAGTGATCCACAGACTACCATTTGGGAACTTAATGCATATATTAGGGAACAGTCAACCTAATAACCTAATAATAGTAATGGCTATATAAGTTATTGTTAGGTTGACTGTCCTCTAATATATGCATTAAGCTCCCAAATGGTAGTCTGTGGATGTTGATGATGATTGTTATTGCTAATATGTATTGGCAACATGTATGCCAAAATTGGCTTTAACCAGTGTATACATTTAATCCTTTATTCCTGAGCTACAAGGAGGTAACATTACTCACCCAGGGTCATATAACTAGGAACTGGTGAGAGTTGAACCCAAGGAGGTTTGAGTAGACGGGGGTGAGGACTACTGTTCATAACCTATCAGTGGGCAGAGAGAACACTTTGTTAAACGAGTAAGAAGAGAGACATTGGCATTTATACTAGTTGAGTCTTAAATTGATTGAATATGGGAAGGCATTGGCGCTGTGGTATGGAGAAGTGTTCAAGGTACAAAGATAGAGTTGGAGACAGGGCACTCTATAGGTTAGTACTCGAGTTTGTGCATTTGAGTGGAGGATTCTGTGAAGGCTAGAAGTTGAACCAACCAATAACTTGTCAGTCAGAGTGGTAAATTCCAAGCGCCTGTCCTGTTTGGTGGGGGGGATGGGTGGAATGCAGGAAGCAGGGTAGAGGGGATAGCACCATTTTAAGGCTGGGAACAAGAGTCCAGCTAGACAATTGCATGATTGCGATAAGGTAGGAGAAGGGAGAATGAGAAGAAAAGTTCATTTTTGAGTTAATAAACAATCTTCTAGAGTTTCAGGGCCTTTAAACCTCTGTGGGTTGGGGCTTTGTGGCAATTCTATACCACAGAATGCCACAAAACCCAGGATATTGGGATTCCAGGGTTAGGACTCTAGCAATTTAAGACAATGAAATGCCGAGGGAGGTTGGGAGCCAAACCCCCAAGGATTTGAAAGGTAAATCTCTGGAGATGTTAAACACTAATCCCCTTGGCACTCCAAGTCAATCAAGATTTTAGCCCCTGGGACAGGGGAAATGGGATTGGGGGTGGGGGGGGGCAGGGTGGTGAATAAGAGGGAGGCCACTGGGGCGGAAAGTTTGAGCCTCCCCCCACTCACTTTAACTGGAGCAGCTCCCATTTTATATTTAGGGTTTTTACATGTGGTCTCATTCAAAAAAAGGTATTCTAGTAGGTCCCCTCTTGGCCTATGGCATTTTGGAAAGAAGAGACAACCCTGGCAGGGATGTTTGGGCTGGGAGATTGGGAAAGGCCAGCTAACACTGAGGACATCAGGCATTCTCTACTCTGAAACCAATAACAGCAGCAACAACAAATGATAATGGCATTTACTGTGTCCATTATCAACTCTGATCTGGCACAGGGCAAAATGCTGATATGGATTGTGCCAATTTGATTCTCTGGGGTCCCACGAGGTAGATACTGTTATCTCATCTTGCAGATACTGTCACTTGTTTGGCACTTGAAGGAAATGTGTACATGGCCTACATATATAGGAATAAACCAAGTAGAGGCAATTGTGAATCTTATTCTGCAAACAGAGTTTAACCGGTTACTCCGGGTTCCTGTGGCTGAAACACACAACGAGTCGAGGTGATCTGTTCCTTTGATCCCAGGGGATCCTGAGTTCAGAGGGACCAGTCACGGACTGGCCCCTGAAATCAGGAATGTCTGACAGCTTATTTCACACAGGAAGTGTTTTATTCTGATTTAAGTAGAAGACACGTTTCGTTCACAGAAAGGAAAGGTTTTATTGCAACTGCATGTTTGCTTGACAAGACTTTTACTGATTTGTTCATTCAGCAAATACTCAATGAGCACCAACTGTGTGCTCTGAACCCAGAATCTCAAACATACAAAATTGAGAGGCTGATTTGTTTAACATAAGCCTCAATGGTGAGGAATTGCTGAAACTTGCAAGTCCTGCTTTAGGTGGCACCTATGGAGTAAGGGCAATTTTTTTAGTCTTGTTCTAATGGATATTTAAATACCTATGCAGAACAAAGAAAACAGTAGAATTTGTAGATTGTATATCATGAAATTAAAGAACTATTGAAATTGGGGCGCTGGCTGGCTCTGTCGGTGGAGCATGGGACTCTTGATCTTGGAGTTGTGAGTTCAAGCCCCATGATGGTGTAGAGCTTACTTAAAAAGAAATTTAAAAGGGGTGCCTGGGATACTCAGTCAGTTAAGTATCTGCCTTGGCTCAGGTCATGATCCCAGGGTCCCAGGATTGAGCCCCATGTCAGGCTTCCTGCCCAGCACTGCTTCTCCCTCTTCATCTGCCCCTCTCTCTGCCAGCCTTTTCTTGCTCACTCTGTCTTAAATAAGTAAATAAAATATTAAAAGAAATTTTAAAAAATAATTAAAATAAAGAATCTTATAAATAAAGGGGTCTGTGTCCTATATTTTACAGGTCAGAGAGTCAGACTTGTATTGAAAACTGTTTATCCTAGGACAGGTCACTTAACCTCTCTGAGCCTCAGGTTCCTCATAGATAATGTGGGGATAATAGTATTTGCCTTATAGAAATATGGTAAGGATTGCATTAGGTGATTTATATGAAATTCTTAGTGCAATGTCTAACATGCACAACATGCTCAATATATTTTTACTGTTACGATTGCTGTTTTCTGAGTTGAGGGTACTGAAGCCCAGAGAGGGGAAGTAACTGGCCCAAGGTCACATAGCTTATTGATTTTAGAACACATATTATAACTCAAATCTTTCTTAGTAGTCAAACATTCCTTATACTACTCCACTCACTTTATGACTTTGGAGCAGGTAATGTAAACTTCCTAGGCTTGTGAGAAATATTTTGGTTCATCCTGGTAGAAGGAGTGAGAAGAATGGCAAAGAAATGGCTGACATAAGAATTCAAGGAGTACCTGAGTGACTCAGTCAGTTAGGCATCTGGTTCTTGGTGTCAGCTCAGGTCATGATCTCAGAGTCATGGGGTTGAGCACTGAGCAGGGAGTCTGATTGAGGTTCTCTCTCTCCCTCTGCCCAACCCCCTTACCCTGCCTCTAAAATAAAGAAATCTTTAAAAAAAAAAACAAGAAAGAAAAGAATTCCTGGACCCAGGAATTAAAAGAGCAAGGGATAAAGAGCAAAGGAGAAACAATAGTTACTAGAAATTTTAAATGGCAATATTGGAGCATTACAATGTCTGGTGAATCACAAGGACTCATCTCCATCCTTATTCCTTTATTCACCACAAACATTTCAATGAAATTGTCAAGGCTTTTCCTTTTTCTTGGCGAATGAGGTGGGGAGGTAGCAGAATGCATGTGTGTTTCACAGAACCTTACTGTGACTTCAGCTTCACTAGTCCATTGCTAATTGCAAAGCAAAGGATCCCTGTAATTGAAGTAGAATGGAAATATGAGTACTACCAAGGACTAAGAAATGATAGATTTTTAAAGGATGGTGGCTGGAGGGAAACCTCATGGTAGAAGCTGCTGAGAAATTTAGAAAAAGGAAAAAAAAAGACCGTTAAACCCATGTTGTTAATTGCTTTGCATAGTGACAGCAATAGGTAAGTACAGCCCTGAGTGTGAATGATTGTGTAGGTGAAAATATTCTTTTTTTAGGTTTGGTTTGGTGTTTTGTTTTGCTTTGATGTGTTTGTTTGTTTATTTGAGAGTGAAAGAGATAGAGCACACAAGCAGTGGGGACAGAGGGAGAGAAAGAAGCAGACTCCCCACTGAGCAGGGAGCCCAATGTGGGGCTCTATCCCAGGATCCCCAAGATCATGACCTGAACCAAAGGCAAATGCTTAACTGACTGAGCCACCCAGGTGCCCCTAAGTGAAAATATTCTTAAGAATTAGAAATCTATGGGAAAAAAGCCACACTGTCCATATGCTAAAAGGAAAGATAGATTTACAGTTGCCTAAACAAGAGATAATATATTCTTTCCTAAACTATGTTGGTTGTTGCAACATCCAGGAAGGATTCTGAATATTCCAGGAGTTTCCTAAAAGGAGCAAGGCCATTTTGCTCAGTTCATTACTGTATAATGCCTTGGCACATGGACTGCTGCCAGAAAGTCTGACGGGCATTCCTAGCCCACCAAAAGGGATACATTGAGACTGCCTCAAGTGTAATTATCATACAAAAGGGTTGTTCCTCTGTTATTTTCGTCCTTGAATCTCAAGTTCGCCGATTACCCTTTCCTAAAAATAATCACATTTTATTTCAAATAAAGTAGATGGATAACACTTGGATTGCTTATTCATTTGCTAACTTTCATCTCCACAGGGCATCAGGTACTGTTTACACAGCGCTAGACATTGCCACAGGACAAGAGGTGAGTGCTCACATTCAATCCTGATTTTTACTGTCCTTTCATTCATATTGATTACATTTCTTCTTTGATGGCAGCTATGCTTGACAACATGAGTGGCACTGGGTTGACATGGGGAATCTATTTCATTGATGTCCCATTTATCCGAAGTGGATGATTTACTCATGATTGACCAAAGAAAAGGGCATGGGTTTGCACCACTGAGAAAGAGCCTATAAGATAAAGAATGTTCATGCCTTACCCTGTGTACCAAAAGAAAAAAAAAAAACCATGGATGTGCGTGTTCAATGACTGTGACTCATTCTTGCATTTTAATCATCCTTCAGGTGGCCATAAAGCAGATGAACCTTCAACAGCAGCCCAAAAAGGAATTAATTATTAATGAAATTCTGGTCATGAGGGAAAATAAGAACCCCAATATTGTTAATTATTTAGATAGGTAAGTGCTTTCTCTCATCATGTACTGGTTTCCTTTATGCAATGTCATTTTCTTGGCAATTATTTTATTTAGGATCCATTCGGGTGGCAGCCATTCTACAAATACTTCTCGAAAGCTCACATCTACTGCTGAACTTTGCCCACACATCACACATTTGAAGACACATTTTATGGTCCTGCTTCTAAGCATGAGCAGCTTGTGTAATTTCCTTTTGAGGATTGTGACTCCGTGTTAGCAGGAAATAGACCGTTGCATATAGGGGAGAGCTGGGGTGTTTTAAACATTTCACCAAGTGATTGGAGCCAATGCAGTCTCTGGTTGTCTAAGTGAAGAAGGCTGGCTGCAACGGCCCCTCTTTAATGGGTGCTTTGTGATTAGCTGACAGTGAGGTCTAGGGAATTGAGACTTTAATCTCAAACCTTTTTCCTGGAACAGGTAATTAATGTCTCTTTCATCAGTGGTATTAGCAGTGGGTTATAAATAGGCATTTAAAGACAGCGCTAACTCTTCACTTGTGGTTAACATCTGTCTCATTCAATTTCAGTGTTTGTTTAGCACCACTGTGCTGTGTACTCTGGGGGGATATAAAGGAAATAAGACTAGGTCTCCAACCTCAATGAGCTTTAAAATCATGCTTTCTGTGTTTGTGCCAGGTGGACCAGAGAAAGGAAAGGGGGAGTGAAAACGAAACAAAACAAACCCAAAGAAACAAAAAGTAGTCAAATTTTACAGTCGAAATCCAAGTTTCATTAAAGTGCCATTTATGGGCTACCTGTAGTAGAGTGACTCTTCTCTGCTTTTTTAATTTTGTCAAAATTGTCTTCGTAAAAAAATATAGATTTCTCAGATGCTTTCTTTACTAATAAGGTAGAGCCTGTGAATTTTCATTTTTAATAGGCTTCCCAGGTGAATCTCACAAGTGCTGCAGTTTGAGCACATTGGATAGAAAGTATTGCTTCATATTGATGTGGAACTTAGGGCACAGGGGAATCATTGGGGTCATTCTGTTCACTGTAATTCCTCTTTTGCTGAGCAGGGGGAAAGAGAGACCTGATCATGCTGCTAATGTGCCTTAGGATGGTTCCAGATGTTTTGAATTTGCCCAGTTGTAGGGCTCTGATGACCTTCTCATGGTTGATCACCTGAGAGTATGTTCCTCAATAATTATGTAAACAGGGGCACCTGGGTGACTCAGTGGTTGAGCATCTGCCTTTGGCTCAGGGCATGATCCCTGGGTTCTGGGATCAAGTCCCACATCGGGCTCCCCGCAGGGAGCCTAATCTCCCTCTGCCTATGTCTCTCCCTCTCTCTCTGAGTCTCTCATGAATAAATAAATAAATAAATCTAAAAAAATAATTACCTAAAGAAAATCTAAAAAAAAATAAAAATAATTACCTAAAGAAAATGAACCTGTCACTACTGATTTCTATTAGGACCAAGTCCTCAGCACAGTAAATCTATTGCAAACATGACTCTCTTTGATTCAGAAACTGCTTGAAAACATTTAAGTAATTAATTCAGTAACATCAAAAATAATGCTGAGATCTGAACAAATATCTTATAAATCTGTATGCCATGGGCCAGTTCAGTGCAAGAAATCAACACAATGGCTTGAGTTATCCAAAATGGCTAGTCATTGATCCTGTTCATTGAAAGTAGCTTTTACAGTGAAATGACTTCCTCCATGGTGCACAGTTATATATGACAATCCTTTGATTTTCATGCATATTGTCTTCTAATGCTAACAAAAGTTTCTTGATATCACTGTCATTGATATTTTCCTCCTGTTTTATGGTCAAATGCACATTAACAGCAAATTACCATCTTTAATGGGAATATGGGAGAGTCCTCACATCTCAGACCTGAGTCAAAGTCTTTTTTATTCTTTTCTTATAGCTACTTAGTGGGTGACGAACTATGGGTAGTCATGGAATACTTGGCTGGTGGCTCTCTGACTGATGTGGTCACAGAGACCTGTATGGATGAAGGCCAGATAGCAGCTGTCTGCAGAGAGGTAAGAAAATCAAGCATTTCTAGCTGGTGAGGACACAAAACTGGCAGTTCTTTCTCTCTGATTATCCAGAATGCGTGTGACATCTAAGTGACGATAGCACATCTTTTCTATGAACAAAAATTGGACAGCCTAACTTCAATTCACATCCTTTCCTCCTAGCTCTTCCCCACCCCTCCCTTCCCAGCCCATTGTTTATTTAATTCCTTTGCTCTGGTTCTTTTGAATTCTATTACACTATTCACTAGGTGCCATATCTAAGCAGGCATGTTGGAATCTCAGCAAACATGGGAAATAGTGATCGTGCTATGGAAGTTCTTCCTGATTTGGGGGATTTTTACATGATAATCATTTTGTCCTGCATGTGCATCATGAGTCATGTAAAATACAAAACCATTATTATCCCATCCTTTTTGAGAAGGTAATTTAAGCATGATCTTCCCTGGGCCCAGATAGTAGTTGCTTTTCCAGTACAATCTGGACATCCCTCATAAGCCTCCTGTGGTTCTGAGTGTCTGTCTCTTGTCCCATAACAATGTCCTATCCCTAGTTTCAAGCTAAACTGAGGACATTTTATTATATTTTTTTCCAATATTTAAAAACACACTCCTCTTTGAAGTCTCATCTTGGGGCATTACCATCTACCCCATTCGTTGTAGTAAGGTTGTCTAGAGACTCTGACCCACTGAAACTTTAAAACCAATTACAGGAAGACAAAAATAAATAACTTCCGTTAGTCTGCTTGTTTTTTAATTGTAAATTGTTTGCTTAAATCTCCTCCTGCCTTGTTTCCCTCTTGTCCCCATTTCCTCCTGCCCAAACATGTACATGTATCCACCAAACATATATATTTTCTTTTCATGCAATGAATCAAACTTCTAATATGTAGGAGATCATTCTACCCGGAGCCTGTGGTTTCCATTTTGCACAATGCAAAGCCATTTCCAGGCAAGCTGCTAAAGCTACTTCATAGCCCAGAAGTGGTTCCAACCATGGCCATCCATCAGAGGTAGCTCGGGGCACTCATTTTAAATGCAGATTCCTTGGTCCTTCTTCAGGCCTACCAAATCAAATATGGTGGAGGCAGAAGCTCACTGTGCCTGTACAGGACCAAACTGAATCCACACCCTCCAGATAATGAGGTCAAAGTATGATTATTAATTAGTTAGTTTGGCTGTATTAATGACTTAGTGCCAATTATTACACCCTCAATCTTCATGTCCTAGTCTGACTTGGGACTAAGTAAATGGTAACATGATTTCAAAATGATAAGACAACAGTAGTCTATTTTACTTGACAATGTAAGATTAAGCCTTTGCCCGAAATTCATCTAGAAATGAAACTTAAATTGTTTTAAATTCTTTGTGATATAATTAGAACTTGCTTTCTGATTCAACAGTGCCTCCAAGCTTTGGATTTTTTGCACTCAAACCAAGTGATCCATAGAGACATAAAGAGTGACAATATTCTTCTTGGGATGGATGGCTCTGTTAAATTGAGTAGGTATTTTGGTTCAGATGGTGTTTGAAAGAGTATCGGGGGATTTCTGCTCATTTCCTGTCTACCTTGAGAAGATAGTGCCTATTGAAAGTGATTGGTTTGAAAGCAGTTAGAGCCCAGTTTGAAGTAAAGAATTTTTTCTAATGCTGTGTTCCTGTAGATTGTGGCCTGATTCTGGGGGTTTAACATTTCAGAATTCCTAGGAACTTCTATCTGCTAGATGACAAACACATAACTAGAAAAACAAAAGATCCTATAAGTTGGAGGGAACAGTAATGGGGAGGGAACCAGATTGAGGACTAGTAAAAATGACATCACATTAATCAGTTATCTCGGACCTTTTTAAAATCAGGGCCACCTGAGGGATCAGGTAATAATAGATAGGAGCTAAGGAGGTGGGGAGGCTCAGTGTCTGACAGAGGAAGGTACGGCCACATCTGAAAGTGACCTACTGTGAAAAAATAATCTGAATTGATTGTAACCAATTTTTTCTTCTCTGCAGCTGATTTTGGGTTCTGTGCCCAGATCACCCCCGAGCAAAGTAAACGGAGCACTATGGTGGGAACTCCCTATTGGATGGCACCTGAGGTTGTAACTCGAAAAGCTTATGGTCCGAAAGTCGATATCTGGTCTCTGGGGATTATGGCAATTGAAATGGTGGAAGGTGAACCCCCTTACCTTAATGAAAATCCACTCAGGGTAAGTCAGAAGAAAACTCAAATACTTCATCCCCAGGAACCAAGCCAAGTGTCATTTCTCATCTCTACCGAAAGTTGCCAGAATGAGCTCTTTCCTGAGACAAGTGACATAGAAGCTCCAAGTTATGATTCTCCAAATTACTCTGAGTTATCCTCAATATCTTCTCAGGTGTCCCAGAAATTTTGTAAGTGCCCCGATATCAGTATTTCTAATGGCAGGGGTCTTTAAAATTCTTTAGTTCAGCTTTCTTAAAGCAAGATGTGGAGAAGAAAAGTATTTTTATCACATGCCATAGCTAAATGATCTATCTAGGAAACACTTGCTTTGTAATTACTTTAACAAAGTGAATAAATGCATTTCCAGGACACCTATAATTTTTCAATTAGATTTTTGTCTCATTGTCAGTAATGATTTATTAAACAGTAGCAATGCAGTGGGTATTGAATGGAGCATGAGATAGACACAGCACAGCTTGGTGGAATCACAAACTTAATTAGACCGTCTAGTAGAAAATGAATGGAAATAGTTTGTGTTGGGTAACTTGATTTGCTACTGCGGAAACAGAGGTTTGATCCTTATGTGGTCTGGTTACCTCTGCCAAGAGAGAAGCTCCATGTCATAGCCTAACTCCCACCATCTTTATTCATAGATAAACCATGGATTGGGAGAGTAAAGATTTTATTTATTTAATTATGAGACACACACAGAGAGAGAGAGAGAGAGAGAGAGAAAGAGGCAGAAGCAGGCTCCATGCAGAGAGCCCGACGTGGGACTTGATCCCAGGTCTCCAGGATCAGGCCCTGGGCTGAAGGCAGCGCTAAACCACTGAGCCACCCGGGCTGCCCCGGATTGGGAGAGTAAAAGGCAAAGGAGTATGGGGGAAATGTTTACTCAGCACAGAAGGGAGCCAGTACCTCCTTTGGGGTGCATTGCCTAAGCATGAGCCGAAAGCTGTGTCATATATTTAAAGGGCATCCCACTTCTGAAAAAGGAAATATGCACAGATTCACATTCTACTCTCAGGACACATGTAGCATGCCAGTGCCGAAGGCATCTCGCATATTGTTTGCATTATTACCACTGAGTCTCAAATTGAATTTTATCCTTAATATAAAAAGAATCGTCCTTGGGAAACGGTTTAGTGTTTACACAGTCAGCTTATACAATCTATATTCACTCCAGATATACATGGCTTTCTGAATATGTCAAGCAACCGACCCACAGATTATCTAGTTGTTTTCACAGTTGAACATTTTGCAATTGGGAGCTGCAGCCCCCATGGATGGAGAAGGGGACAGCCTCCTCCTCCTTGCCCCTTCCTAAGTCCTCTCTGCCACTTGGCCTCTTGTCCCAGTCCCTGTACTGATTAGGAAACAACAGATAGGACTGAATGCCCTAATGAATGCTACAGGCTATTGCTCTGGTCTCATGAAACAATCTGGAAGTGAGATGTGCACATTGATTAGCTGCCCTCGGGGCTGAGTGGAAAAGAAGGAACATTTTCCCACCGTTTATGGGTCAGCCCTCCATGAATTTAATCAAGCCCACCCATGACCTATGGACCAAGCACATCAGGATAATTACTGAGGCTTATCCTTATTGTTTAACCACCTTTGCCTATTAAGAAATAGCAGTGAAAGAACACATCAGACCTCTTCTTTCCATGGATTTCCTCCTCTAAGTCTTTGGAGTTTGGAGGCACTAAATGGATTACAGCTATTTTGCTTTCTGCCTTCTAATGAGTAATTTACAACCTGAAAAATTTAAGTATTAAATAAATGCTGCTGTAAAGCAACTGGTCTCAGTAATGCATTTATTACCTTCTTCAGTTCCCCAATTACAATTGATCACTCTTTAGCAGGGCTGTTAATTGTTAGAAAAAAAGGAAACAAGTTCTAATCTTTATAGGCATCTCCTAGCCTAGGATTAGAACTCATAATGAACAGCTTGTCTCTTAGAATCCACAGTCTTGTATCTAAACAAGTACTTGCAGATTAACAAGCCACCGGGTTCAGGAAGCCTACATTAAGGCTGTAAGAAAAAGACCTGTCAGAAAGACCACCCTGTTGAATTCCACTGATAAAGATTTAGTCTAACTTTGCTCATTACTCTCCGTGTGTGATCAACCTCCAGTGAATCAATCAACAAGCCCTTTCTCTCTGCTAGGCACCCCAAGTACTTTCTTAGTTTTGGTCTCAGATATGTTGCCCTCGTGTTCACTTAAAGAAAACAGAGTCTCAGGCTTTATGTCCTTATTTGGGATTTGAAAAATGTAGTCACTGAACCCATAGAGGGAATGGAGAGAAAAAGATCTAACCTGAGCCTGTAAGGAGCCTCTGTTTTCTTGGATCCTGGTGACCAGGCTGTGTGTGGGGAAGTGAAAAGTTGCAGAGCTTCGGAAGAGGTATAAAAGAGAGGCAAGTTAGTCCTTCTTTCCTTGAAATCCTTCCAATGGATTGGAAGGAAACCATCCACCCACCTCTTTGGGCTTTGGGGAGGAAAGAAAGAATTGAGTGGAAGGAAGACAACGCAGTAGAGGGAGAGGGTCGCATGTTGTTGTGAAAAAATTCGGCCCATGCAGTCAGGTGGATCTGGGTGTGACTTGACTCCAGAACCTACAAGGTTTGTGACTTTCAGCAAGTCACTTAAAACCTTTATAAACCTGTTTTTCTTTTTTTAATATTTTATTTATTTATTCATGAGAGACAGAGAGGCAGAGACATGGGCAGAGGGAGAAGCAAGCTCCCTGTGGGGAGCCCAAAACGGGACTTGATCCCAGGATCCTGGGATCATGACCTGAGCCAAAAGCAGACGCTCAACCACTGAGCCACCCAGACATCCTCCTGTTTTTCTTTTGTATCAAATGAGGATAATACCTGTCTTGCAAAAACTAAAAAAAAAAAAAAAAAAAAAAAAAAAAAACCTAAATAAAGCCATGCATGTAAATCACCTAGCACAGTGTCTAGCTCATTGTAGGAAATATGTATATATGTATATGTATATATATGTGTGTGTGTGTGTATATATATATATATATATATATATAGAGAGAGAGAGAGAGAGAGAGATTTATTATATGAAGAGAAAGGTGAGAAAAGAAAAAAAGGATCTGTGTAAAGGGAAATTGGATTCCCCACTTCTACTAAAGCTTCCCCTTCTCACTGGCTATACTCTGATCCCTGCAAAGAGTAGAGGGATCTGCAGTGTCCAGTAAAATTACAAGGAACAAGTAACACCGAACAGGACAGGTTAAAGGTAAAGATGGACTATACAGTTGAAGGCTGTTTGCCTTTCATTGTGGTTTTATGTGTGTGTCTTTTTTGTGTCCGTTGCAACTGAGCAAGCCCTTTTGTGAATGCTGCCAGTTTAACATATCATTGATGCAAGGAATTAGCTACTCTCCCCCCTAGTTGTAAAGTGGTTGAGATTTTTTTAATGTAAATTGCTCTGTACTAATTTATCTAATTTGCTCATAAAATGAATTTTAAAGGTCATAGAGTTATTAGCTGTACTGATGTTATAAGGTTGGTACTCTTCCAGAGACAGAGAGGAGACAAGCTTCTTACTGTCCCCCACTGCCTGAAGTCTTTGCACTCAAAATAATTGGCCTTGAACATGTTGTTCTATAACCCATGGACATTTTTAGTGTGCTCTCCAATAATAAAGTGCCTTGTTCTTTCTGTCTGCCAAAGTGACCAGGGTTAAAATCCAACATCCCTTGTGGATATGCAAATCAGTGTTAGTGTTCTGCTCATCTCCCTAACCTTTTTGTTAGGTGGAGATATGTTTTCTAAAACCTGTGATTATAATGACCTGATTCTCAATAAAAAGGGATAATCATTTCCATAAAACAAATCTTTGTTTTTTTTTTTTCCCACACCAAAACAGTGCCTCTTTATGAACTTCGCAGTCACACACAATGGAGCTGTTCTGGTCAATGGGTTTTGATGGAATCTGGCATTTGGGATATGTCTCACTGGCATCTACTTAAAGTCTCTACTGGATTATGGGTGGATCCCCTTTTTTTATATGTACTTTTCCAAACCTTTATCCTAATTGAAAGGAACTTTCATGTTGTCTTTCTGACCTTGCTTTAAGCATCGATGAAACTATAGCAAACGTTGGATATTTGGAAGACAGTTATTGGTATTAATCAGAGACATCTGAATGCTCAAAACAGTAGCACAGTATGTGAACCACTGAGCCTGTACCAGTGGATCTACTCCTTGGTGTTATACTGGAATCACCTCTGGAGCTTTAAGAACCAATGATGACAGGTTCCCACACCGAGGACTAAACCAGAAACAAGGCTCTATGGCACGCCCTATCTAGAATGTTGTCTAGACTGGAAATGATTCTTCAGCAACCCTCTTTGAGCATGGTTGTTCAACCAGAAAAGTCCACACTCTTATTCTGTCCACATATCTCCATTTCGTGGAGATACACACATACATACACACACATACATACATACATATATATCACTCTGTTATAGTCTTGTTGAAATCCAGATGCACTCTATGGCATTTTCTGGCTTACCAGTCCAGTAACACTATCAAAAAAGAAATGGCATTTTCTCAGCATGGACATCCATGAGATGCTATTTCGTTTTCAATTTTACTTCTCCTTAAAAAAAAAATGGAGTTTACCATTAAAACGTGCTAACCGCTGAGTACATAGCACATATTGGTGATAATAAAGCTGTCAGTCTGGCTATTCGTGATTAGATGTGCGTGACCTGTATGACCAGAGAGAAGGGAAGGCAGGAATCTAACATCAGCCTTGCTGTCTACACTACCGAGGCTTCTTATTCTCCCTTTCCCCACACTTAAAGCACTACACAAATGTTAGTTACTACTATAGAACTAAGGAAATTCTGATTAGCTTATATGTCTAGGGAAGGAAGTTAGGCAGAAGAGAATCTCCAGCAACTAAAAAACAGCAACTGAGAGCCAAAGTGCTCCTAGCTCCTCCAACCACTGGAACCTGTGTTGTGGATT